AAAAAAAACAATTCATTAACATGACTCCTGACTGTAAAATGCATTTCTACATGGTCAATATTGGTCTGATGGCCGTGAAACGAAGTCACAATACTCTACAAAGGCAAGACATGAATTTGCAATAAAAAAATCAATTTCACCAAAACAGCCCCGAAGGTCGATTTTCTCAGATATTGGGCCATATAGTCTTGATGAACTGTTAAGCGGGATTCACAGAAGCTTTTCTGCGATGCGACACGCGATGCGACGCGATCTGCGATGGATGCGTGCGATGCGAACTCGCAAAATACCATTCACAGAAGAAGTCAGCGATGCGACAAAGTTTTGCTGATTTGGGTACGTCACCATGATATTCGCGCGGTTTGACACAACTTGTAAAAATTTATAGGCAACTCTTGCACCTTTGTACAACTTTGCTGTAGAAAAGGTCAAAATCGTACACCAAATCGCTTGTCGCATCGCATCGCATCGCAAAAGTTGAGCCAAGCTCAACTTCTGCGATGGCATGCGATGGCCCAGTTGCGTCAGTTGCGTGGGGTGCGACATGGCTGCGATTTGGGGTTTTCCCGGTTTCGCGCCTGTCGCATCGCGTGTCGCATCGCAAAAAAGCTTCTGTGAATCCCGCTTTAGTCATACCTCGTAACATAGTATTATTTCTTTTCTCCTAAAAAAAACGATTGGATCAATGACCTACTTCTATTGTTTGCCCATATTTTTAGCCTGCCTTCCTCGACAAGATGATCAAATGGAGTCTAAAACAATGGCTGATGATATCTCTTGTCGATATGATGGTAAGCACTGTGGAGCAGAACCAGTGTGCGGAAGCACACAAAGGCAAGCAAACATATTCAGGGGCTGAATTCTTGATAATCACTAGGATCTTTACAAATACCCAAACTGATTTTAAATCAGTATAATTATATTGCTCCTCGAGGAGCCGAGGAGTTTGATTTTAAGGTAGCTCGGGCCGTTATCGCGAAAAATATCGGCGTTCAAAACCACTTTCCGTCCGATTTTTGTTCAAAGTTTCAAGCATCATGAGGGCAAGCTGTTACTCCCAAAATTTCGCTAGTGTGCAAGCCACGTTATTATGTCAGGAAATAAGAGAAAAACCTACTTTTACAAACAGGAAATCGCTTTTCATTTGTTTCAATTTGGCAGGCTTGCACATGTACTAAACTATGATATAAGTACATTTCAATTCTTTCTTTGGAATTCAGGACCACTAGTATCACACATTGTTTAGGCAAATCCACTGGAATCAATTACGAGAGATGATCATTTCTTCGCATATTTCTGTAAACAGTGGGTAAACGAGTCCAATGAGCTAACATCATTTTGACATAACTGCATGATACTGATGTAGTGCGATGCAACTAGCAAGAAAATTTCAATCATTTTCAGGCCAACTTTGCAAAATTTAAATTTCAAAGCATTCTGGGCACCGTATCGTTTTGCGGTTCAGAATACCAGTTTCATCTCCTAACGCAGAAGCCTGTACTTTCAACCAGTGTATCTTTTGGCATATAAAGCTTCTGTGACATGCTCTGATACTATGGGAATTACTAACATGATTACATGAAGCAACAGATGGAAGTTGGAAGCATTTTATTGTCCTCAATGCAAACCTGTCTCTTTCTTAGAGATCGCCTTGTTCCGGCTACTTCGAAGGGCCATAACCCCTCCAAAGTGCCCCATTACGTACCCTAATACCTGTACAGTCGTCCCTCTCTAATCCGGCACTTGTTTATCCGGAACCCTTGCCAACCGGCGCACTTTCTGACGAAACCGATTTTTTTCGTTCAATTCCTGCATCCTAATCCGGCACTTGAATTCCGCCTCCGGCAGTGACTTTTTGAAACGAATCGCTCAAACTGCACGTAGTTTGATTTCATAATCCGACAGTCGTAAATCGCGTACCGTACAGGTGCACTCCTTGCCAGGCCAGGCTAGGCCGGTCTGGTCAGTGCCGCGCGTGCGCGGGGCAACTTCAGAGTACAGTTCAGTTGACAACTGTACTCGACCTCGCGCGGGAAAGTTCAGTTCGGTTGGTTGTTAGGACTTTTCCGAACCCTAACTCAATTTATACAAAGAGAAGGACCAAGGAACTACAAGTTACACTATAATGTCCACTAACATCACCAGTTACTAAACAATCAGCTTATGCGATAACATTGCACGACACTGACCGACGGTACTGATGTTCTACAACTAACTACAACGTTCGACCTGCATGATGTCGACTGCTTGCGTGGCCTTCTCAAGAGGGTCAATGTTGTCCAGGAGACAACGGCTAAGTAGTCAACCATACTTTCTTATTCTAGCAAGGAGTAGTGTTCTGCCAATTTTCAGGCGTGTGTGTGCGTGTGTGCGTGTGTGTGCAAGAGTACATGTGAACATGTTCTCTGTTTTACTTTATCACTTTATCACTGTGTATATTCCTCGAGAAAAGTTGAGAATATAAAGCCGTGCACCAAATACTTGGGTCGACACGGAAAAACTCTGCGTTTTGACGTATGATACATGCATGCAATTGGGTAGGGCCGGGTCAGAGGGCAGGATTTCTTAATCCAGCACCCTCGTTAATCCAGCGGAAAACGCCGTAGCAAAAGGTGCCGGATTAGAGAGGGACGACTGTATTGATTTTCTCATTCTGGACACTCATAGCATTGCAAAAAAAAGGTGTCAAACTGGTGAATTTTCGGAAAAAGTATTTCGGCATGAGCCACCTTAAAAACTTCTCTTTGCTTTTCGTTTTCACACTCCGGGAACCACTCGTCTTCCTTGTCATTGGTATCTTCCAGCATAGTCTAGGAGCCAAGTCAACAAAAGTCCAAGGAATAAGAAGTTAGTGTGACACCCTGTCCAGGAAGGATTTTTTGATGGATTTGGAATGGCATAACAACCAGCAAATGACACCTGAAAACCAGAATGTGCCAAAGTTGTCCGTTCAAGAGTTATGGCCTATTTACTAAAATTTCCATGGTTACCATAGCAACGTACATGTAAATTGCCTCTTTTTAGCCCGAGAGACATGCAATATGGGTCAAATAGATAATAAATGGCTGTCAAAGTCATAAGTGAAGATAGAAGTTCCCAAAACTGCCTTCAAAATAAGTGAAGATAGAAGTTCCTGAGGAGTCTTGTTGGGATGTCATCAAACCCAGGGCTTTGCAAGGATTAAGGGCTCCTAGGAGCTGTTCTACCTCGGCGGGTGTGGTTGTGCTTTGGGCAAGCTCTCTCTCGCCGGATGTTGGTAGAAGGATGTCGGGGACTGGCTCGTTGTCAACTGAGACGGACTTCTTGCTTTCTGAAATGAAGAAGCTGTTGAATGCTTCTGCCTGATCTAAGTTTGATGTGAGCTTCCTGCCATCATGGTTCAAAGCTGGCATTTCCTTTCTTGGTGAAATTCGAAGGGTCTTCATAAGTTTGTAGAGGTTTGGGCGGTTTGTATGGGTTTGGTCACAGTGGTTGTCGGCATTGGCTGGTTTATGAACGAATTTGGACTTGGCACTGCGGAGAAGAGTTGTTGTCTTGTTTCGCCTAGTTGTGAACTGGTCCCAGTCTTCAGCCGTCCGTGTGGAGGTATTTCCTGTATAACCTGCGCTTTGTACGGATATTATTTACCAGATCAGGCGTCATCCATGGGCGTTTTGGAGACACTGCAGATGATCTAGTCAACCGGAGTTGAGTGCAGAACTGGTGTGCGGTGCGAAGTAGAGTGTCACGCCAGAGCAACCACAGTTCGGTCAGCGAATATGACGGCAAGTCAATATTGCTTGCACGTGAAAAGTTTTGAAATTTGACTGTAGTGGTATATCCCTGGACATTTAAATTAATTGTTTTATTTTTGAACAACCCAGCCCTGTGTTTATTGCTCATTATGTAGCATATACTATAACACGTGTAGTTTTCCTCACTGTTTATTTCTATTGCATGATTTGCATCAGGAGATCCCCTCGACAGGCCATCGCCTCTGGGAGATCCTTTAATAAAGATTATTCCCGTAGCTATGCAGAAGACGTTACTTCAGTAACGTCTGGCGCTAGCCAGGGTCCACACAGCTTTAATTCCCATAGCTATGCAGAAGATGTTACTTCAGTAATGTTTGGCGCTAGCCAGGGTCCACACAGCTTTAATTTGGTGTTCTTTTGTGTGTTTGTTTGTGTCACGCCTGGCGCTATCCCGTATCTGTCCCGTACCGTACCGTACCATCAAACACACCTGGCCACACACAGCTGGCCGCACTATTCAAATAGGGCTTTCAAACGCAAGATCATAACGTGAAGCAACTTGGAAGAATGAGTATGGATGCGAAGTGTATGGGGGAATGCATGCAGGGCGATAGTGCGGGTTCGAATCCCAGGTAATGCCTGAAAAAATAGGAAAATTGAAAAAATTATAACATCCCTATTCTTTTTTTGCCATCATCAAGGTGGTAGATGGTGTCGTATTACCCTCGACCGCACCTGTCCCGTACCTGTCCCGTACCGTACCGTACAATCAAAGACGGCTGGCCACAATGCATATTCAAATATTATTATTATTATTATTATTAAGCTTCCGTGGAGATAAAAGCTTATTTATTATACATGAAAACAAGTTTTGCTTATGGTGTTTGTACTGAGTGCGCAGCTTACTCTATTTATTGCGTTGATTATTATTATTATTATTATTTGTGCTCCCGCGTCAATGGGCTCGCCCAAATTCGCTTGCACCGAACCATGCGAAAAAAAGGCCGCCAGCAGGCAGGCAGGCAAAGAAAAATAGAAAATGGTGTCACATAAACTAATACAAACAAGAATATCATTATTGATGACATTAATATACTGAATGAATGGCAAAGGCCATGTGAATATGGATAATACGGATAATCAGAGTACCAACAACAAAGAATGTAGCTCAAACCATTGCAGTGCCAACTTCCTTCACCAGTACTCTGCCTTGTACGCATTTGTAACTGCGTTGCACAGATATGTCCATTCACGGCGATCCAGTGCTCACTGAGCCATCAGCTGCAAGTCCCTTGGAGTCCTCAGACGGCAGCCGACTCGCTCCGCGTCTGGATTCAGCAGGACCGGTAGCGTGATCCGCGGCCGCCCACGGTATCCCGGCACGGAGCAGCCAAAGAATCCACTCATGACCTCCCTAGCCGGTGTGTGCTCATCTGATCGCAGGATGTGGCCAAACAACCGCCATCTTGCATTCACCAGAATGTTGCCAAGTGGAGCAGCACTGCAGCGCTCGTAAACCAAATCGTTCGACAGTCGGTTGGGCCACCTGATACCCAAGATATGCCGAAGTTGCCGCCGATGATACGATTCCAGCGCTTCAATTGTCTGTCGAGTGATGCCCCATGTGGAGCAGTTGTAAAGCAAGACAGGTAACACGAAGCAGTTATACAGCCGGACGCGCACCTCCAGACTCACTTGGTCTCTTCTCTTCCATAACTGGCAGAGGGACTTAAACGCTATCGCCGCAAGCTGCTTTCTGCGGGTGACATCCTCTGCATCACCAAGGAGAGAGCCGAGTTTCTTGACCATACGCCATGGCTCATCAGCACGATCGGCCTCTCGCTGGATGGCTGTGAATTCTGTCTTGGTCTGGTTGACGGTAAGGGACCATGTACCCAAGATGGTGGCAACTTGTGGCTCTAACATCCGAAGCCAATCACTAGAGATACTGATGAAGTCCACATCATCGGCGTACTCCACATCGTACGGAAGATGCCGGGCCACAGGTGCAGCCATTCGCTGTCGCACATCCTGCAGGGCAGCTTCCAGGTAGATCACGAATAGAATTGGCGACAAGGAGTCGCCTTGCGGGGTACCAATGTTAGTGGAGAAAGAGCTTGATGTTTCCGTGCCCAGTCTGACTGCCAAATTTGTATCTGAGATCAGGTAACGGATCAAGCGTACCTCGTCTTCTTCCAAGAATCGCTGAACCACGTCCATCAACTGTCTCGCCTGATCGTGTCAAAGGCACGTGACATGTCGATGCCCAGTATGCTGAATGACCAGTGGTACCGCTGGGTCGTAGCTGCTAACCACCGATGGCACCAGACCACATCAGCTGTTGACCTTCCTGCACGAAAACCACTTTGGTTCAGTGATAGGAAATCGTTTACGGCTGGCGAGATGCGCTTGAGGACTACCAGCGACATGACTTTGCGTAGAGTTGTCAGGAGGATGATCGGTCGCAGACTGGTTAAAGCACCCACCGGCTTTCCGGGCTTCTGGAGAGGTATTAGTGTGCCATGACCGATGAATGGCTCTACCCGGTGTTGCTGAAATAGGCTGTTGATGCATCGGCTTATGACGGGAGCAGTGGCATCGGCTGAGTACTTCAACAGCTCACCCGGGATGTTGTCGGGTCCTGCAGCTCTACCGTTGTTGAGTCTTGCTAGTGCTGTTTTCACTTCCTCCGTTGAAACGGGATGCTGCAGCGGTCGAGGTTCCCCAGTGAAGGATCCAAATTGCTGAATTGCAGAGTCACTGAGCTGCGATGAGAAATGATTCTTAATCTCCAAGCTTGCTTGCTTATCATTACATATGATCTTGCCCTGGCTGTCCTTAACGACGACTTTCTGCGATGGCTTTCGCCGGAGCAAGTGTACAGCTTGGAACATCTGGGCTCCATCCTTGAGCCTCTCTATCTCCTCTGCTCGCGATATTAGTTCATTTTCTCTGTTTGTGATGGATCTGTTCCTGATATCATGCAGGATTCGATTCCGGTCAGTCCTCAACATTTCTCGCTCGATTGGGTCATCACTGCCCTGAATACGGAGTCGGACATCTCTCTGCATGCAGGAAAGTCTCTCGACCTCTGGGTCATGGTGACGATGACTGGTCTTGGCTGTCACACCCACAATCTCTTTGCCCGCGTGGAAGATCTCTGCAGCTATTGCATCCCATCCGGTGTTGGGCTGATCTTCTGACACCCTCTGAATTCTGTCTGAGATGGCAAATGTTAGCTGATTCTGCAGTTGTGGATTCCCGGGTAAACGATGCACTGCTAGGCGATCCACCTTCTTCTGGCTGCTCCGCGCCGCCCGACCCTATATGCCGAATACTCGAGGTAAAAGCGTGCGAGCCACCACAATCCTATGATCTGATGTGACTTCCGTTCCATTGTAACTTCTGGCGTTGGTGAATAGTCTCTTTTGCGATTGACGGCACAGAATATAATCAATTTGGTTGTAAATGTTGACAATCTTGCCACTGGCTCTGTCAAGTCGCTGTCCTGTCCATGTGGTCCTGTGCCTTGCAGAGTGGCAGAACGCTGTGTTTGATAAGAATAATCTGTTAATTTCACAGAACTGCACTAGCGTCTCTCCGCTGACGTTTCTGATTCCACGCCCATGGCTGCCAATACATGATTCGTCCTGCTGCTTCGTTCCAGCTTTCGCGTTGAAGTCTCCAATAACAAAGAAGAGGGAACTCGAGTCCACGTCATGTATAGCTCTGGTCAAGGTATCGTAGAATTCATCCAATTCAAAGTTGTTGTCTCTGCAGCGAGCTGACGTCGGGGCATACACATTCAGGATACTCAATGTCGATTTTTTTCCCAATTGTAACGAAATTCCAGCGACTCGGTCAGAAACGCTCCAAACTCTCTCGACTCTCGGCTCCAAGCTGCTTCTTACTGCAAATGCCAGACCATAATGACGACAGGTTGGCGACAGCGTGTAAAGAACATAGCCACCACAATACTCTTGCCTCGTTTCACAAATTTTAGTTTCCTGCACGGCACAAACATCAATTTTGTACTTGGCCAAATCACGACAGAGCGCTTCACGTTTGACTTTCGACGATAGACCACGTACATTGAACGTCGCTAAACTAAATTGGCTTCCTTCCTGTCTGAAGAAGCCCCCATCCACTAGGTTCGATAGAGACATATCCCAAGAGAGGGAGAGAAGGAGTCACCCTCCTCAGCCAGGTTCAAATAGGGCTTTCAAATACAAGATCATAATGTGAAGCAATTTGGAAGAATTAGTATTTATGCGAAGTGTATCGGGGTTCCGGGGATGCATGCAGGGCGATAGTGCGGGTTAGAATCCCAGGTTATGTCTAAAAACAAAAAGTAGAAATTTATAAGAATTTATAACATCCCTATGCTTTTTTTGTCTAGGTCATCAAGGCAAAAAGCATGACGTAGGGCCCTGAGCTTCCCAGCTCTCTCGTTATATTATATTCTGCTTCTTCTTCTTCTTCTTCTTCTTCTCTGTTGCCCTTACACACCTTACCCATGGAGGGTAGTGGCGCTCCTACGGATGCGGAAAACTCGGGCCTCCAGCCCAGTCTCACGCAAACTGTGAATGTTTTCATTGAAGTGCAGAGTGTTTCATGTTTGGAGAGGCTCCTCGCCAGACATGTCGAAAATGTTCTAAGACCAAGGTTGAGATAGTGGTAGTTTCTTTTCTTGTTCTTGTTCTTCTTCTTCTCTGTTGACCTTATGTCCAGTTCTCAACTGCAGTGTACCAGACATACAATTTGGTATGAGTAATGCTTCACTCATTCAATATGGCGCTACTGTTCAATTTACATGTGATCATACATACTTTCTGTGGGGGAATCCATCAGCTACATGCAACGGTGATGGTACATTGAGCTCAGTGCCGATATGTTATATTAAGTGTAAATTACTTTCTTTACTGGAAAACCTGGTGTAAGCGACCTCTTGGTTTAGCGACAATATGCTCTTCACAACCGCTTTTCCATGCACCAACAGTTCTACACAGACGCTGTGGGACCTGGTTCTAAAGACAACCTGGCTTTAATGACCGGTTTTGTTTGCACCATGGGGTGGTCACTTACACCAGATTTTACTGCACAGCTAGCTAGTACATGAGCTATGATCAGATTAAACCAACCAGTAGCTTTTGCCCAAAAGTAGAGCAATCCTGTTTTGTAGAGTTGCGCCGAACTGGTCGTTTTCAAAGAAGAAAGGAGAGGGATCCTTGCTGATTCGAGTCTCTCATGTAATCCCAATGCGGCTCACCATCAGGTCCCGATCATGTGGCCTTGAGGTTTGGCACTTCGCCTCAAGAAGGCTCCAACATCCTACGCTGTGCGCGTGGTGTGGCACTCTGCTTTTTGTCAGGCGCACAAAAAGAAAGCCTTTTAAAATTGTGAAGGGGAGGCTGTTGGGTGAAGTTGGTATGAAAATCATGGCTTTAACGACCGGTTTTGTTTGCACCATGGGGTGGTCACTTAAACCAGGTTTTACTGCACAGCTAGCTAGTACATGAGCTGTGATCAGATTAAACCAACCAGTAGCTTTTGCCCAAAAGTAGAGCAATCCTGTTTTGTAGAGTTGCGCCGAACTGGTCATTTTCAAAGAAGAAAGGAGAGGGATCCTTGCTGATTCGAGTGTCTCGTGTAATCCCAATGCGGCTCACCATCAGGTCCAGATCATGTGGCCTTGAGGCTTGTTACTTCGCCTCAAGAAGGCTCCAACATCCTATGCTGTGCGCGCGGTGTGGCACTCTGCTTTTCGTCAGGCGCACAAAAAGAAAGCGTGAAGCGTTTTAAAATTGTGAAGGGGGGAGGCTGTTGGTTGGAGTTGGTATGAAAATGTCCGTTATTGTAACAAGCGCTGAATTGAACCCGTAAACCCTGAGTGTACCAGCACAGAACGAATGTGTGAGACGATAGCGCATGCCTGGTGTCATGGTGTGAAAGCCCAACGCACTTTGAAGTCAGGTGCAAAGCAAAAGGAATTGATCCTGTATGCCTGTGCCTTTCACAATCAGCAGAAACACTGATATTGACTAAAATTGTTGAAATTGAATATTAATTTTACTTCATGACTGGACTGATGTCATCATGTACTATGGCACTGCTGGTTTACTTGCATTTTAGCTGTTTGGCCGGAATGGATGCTGCTCTGCGGACTTTGGTGAACTTTACCTGCGCTCGTGGTACAGCGGAAAAGGAACATACATACATGTGTATATTGTTCCCGGTTTGAAAGTCGAGACACGACTTTCGTGACTTGGAAAAGGAATAGAGAGCTTCAAAGTCCGTCTCTAGCTGATTTTTCGAGTGCTCCTTGTGTATTTTGATGGTAATAGAAACTTGTCAGACCAAAGTCAACGCGGCGGTAGACGTACAGTTTTCTTGGGGATGTTTTCAGTTGTTTCGTTTCGTATTTATGCCAGTGTTGTGATGGTAAAGTGGAGAGGATGACTCTCTTCCTCTAGACTTCATTCGGCCACCTTTGCTTCGTTCTCAGTGAAAAGACACGCTGGAAAGAAGGTCGATTTACAAAAGTATGTTGATTTTCATTGTACCTGATGACATTCCATTATTAACTGTGTTAGTTTAGATGTGAATTGACTAACCCCGAAGCCCCCCTCCCTCAATCCACTGAATTCACATACATGTATGATCGCACTTGTTATCAGCCATGCCCCACCCTACACACACACACAGACGCACACCCAGGTGGTTTTTGCAGGATCCTTGCACACATGGTTTTTGTTCTCATGGTCTGTGTTTGTACCTGATCTCTTTTTTATGACTGAAGGGCTGACCGGCATAAGAATTTGCAGGACACCAACAATTATCACAAGAATAACTGAGAGGCTATTCAATTACACTTCAGCAAAAGCACTGTGTAGCAGTCACAATGGCACAATTCTCTCTGAAGCGTCGTTCCACGATGGGTGCTCAATGGGCTTGACAGACCGTAACAGAGTGGCGTGGAGAGGATTACCTCTCAAGAATAACAAGGCGTTGACTACAAATGCTGTCCCAGTAGACCTGTCCCAACTTTTTCATGTAGTGTGCGAGATACGTAAGTCTACCTTCATTCTGTTTAGAAGAGAGACTTCTTTCTTTACACATACAAGCTCATAGAAGAGCTGATAACGTGGTTATAAAACCCTTTACGAGCCGTAAATAGGATAAATGCATTGCATTTGAGGCATTGGATTGTGACAGAGTTGGAGAACGGCAACTGGCGGAGCAGAAACCTCAACATCAGGAAACACCATCACCCGAATCATCGCGTCCACGCACACCGAACAAAAGAAAAGAGAGTACAAAGTCGATATGCAGGATCCGGGCTTCCTTTGCTTCCTGTTGTTGTTGTTGTTGTTGTTGTTGTTGTTGTTGTTGTTGTTGTTGTTGTTGTTGTTGTTGTTGTTGTTGTTGTTGTTGTTTCAAATCTTTATTCTCACGATGGCCTGTGGCCAATAAGAGATAATAATTATAGTAAGATTAGTATGATGCGGAAGCTTCATGGCTAGCAGTGATCAAACTAGATGTACAGGTGAGCGTTGCTCGTGCACAAGCAGATTGATTTGAGTAGCATGGTTGATATATTTTGCTTAAACAAAGCTGTTGATTGAATATCGCGTAACGTTGATGAGAGGCCATGGAAATAGTGGAGAGATTTGTACAGAGGGGAACCCAGGCAGTGGTCGGTTCTTGCAGTTGGCAAATGGCAAGTGCGAGTGTACCGAAAGCTAAAGTCTGTATTGGCACGATTTGGGGTTGCAAGCATTAGAATATGAGTTGGGCGAAATTGTGGTGGATGGAGTGAGAAAACGCTATGTGAGCGCATTCGCTCCCTGGAGGAACATGATTGTAAAATGCTCGTGCTGAAACTTCATGCCCATTCCCTCGCAATGTATAGTTGGAATATATCGTCCTCCTAGGCATCCAGTCCTCATGTTCACCCAATGCTTAGAACGCCTGCTCATGATAGAAACTGTATTTTAGCTGGAGATATCAATGCACGTCATTCCCACTGGAAACCTTCAGACCCTAACGACACAGCCGGACGACGAGCCCTTCTCACACTCTTTACCACCTACGACCTCTGTTTAGAAAATACTGAACATGGTACAAGGCCCACACCAACCTCGAATTCACTCCTTGACCTGACTGCAACCAATCTGCGAGACCTCCCATCCACATCTAAGATTCTCTCACCTGTTGCTGATCACTGTCTGGTCATCACCTCCATCTCTCTGCACTCACATCACGTGAGCTAGTCACCAGTAGTAAGGAAAGCAAGTGGATCCGGGCTATGCGGTGCATTAACCACTCCTTGTTCACCACACTTCTTCTGAGATATCCTCCACTTGAAAGAATCCAGGGTGATGTGCATATCGACTACGTTTGGACTGTTTTGCACAACCATGTTATGGCTCTGTTCGACAAGTGCATGATATGGCGGCTCATTACTACCGGGCACAGGAACAAAAAACCCTGAAACAATGCCCGTCTACAGAAGCTGAAATCAAGGCAGAATAGACTATATGACAAGAAGCTGAAGTTAGACTGTGTTTTTCCTCGACTTTTTAAAGAAACCTTTTGATCGTGTGGATCTTCAAGCATTGCAAAATGCATTAAAGGAATTGCTGATAGGCCAGAAGTCGCCTGGCTCCAAAGCTTCTTATCTTAGCGGAAGCTGTCTGTAAGGTTGGAAGGACAATATTCCTAAGCCAAAGTCCTCACCCGTGGAGTTCCGCAGGGATCGCATCTTGCGCCAATCATCTTCTTATTATTTGTTAATTTCCTGCCCTCATTAATCACCTACTGCACCCCATGCTTCTTTGCTGACGATGTCACCCTCCTGTATGTACATGATAACAAGAATTCCCTGCAGTGGACTCAATCTGGTGTAGGGAGCGACATTTATGCCTACCAGCTATAGGCCAGCAACGTTGGTGGAGAGTTCTCACCAGCCAAAACGACTCAGATCCGTAACTACAGTAACGACCACCCTATCCGGCTCTCTTCCCAACCTATCACCATTGTTGAAGATGCGAAGCATCTTGGAGTGTATTTAACACCCGACCAGTCCAACACCATCCACCTTCAGACCATCCTGAAAACCTCCCAACGTCGTGTTAATCTGCTATGCTTCATGGGACGGCATCTTGCCTCCACAGCCTTTCTACTTCTATATAAAGGTTTTGTCCGACCCGCCCTGGAACACGCCACCTCGGCCTGGACCTGTGCCATCACCAAAGCTGAGCTGGAGCGTTTAAATATTTTACAAGCCAAAGTAGCTAGGAAGTATTTGCTACGTAAAAAAGTCAATGTAGATTGATGCGAAAAGAAATGCCAGTTAAACGCCCTTTGTGACTTAGAGTCGTTGCACTTTCGCAGACAAATATCAGCTCTTGTTACTCTATTTAGCCTTATACATATATCTCCCGGACATCTTCAACATTTTCACCTTTCACTGTCTTCAAGTCCAAGAAGATCAAACAAACAAAAAACAAAACAAAATTCATGGTTCGCGTCAGACTCGGTTTCTCTATATAGAGGCCAAGTTTTCCGCATCCGTAGGAACGCCACCACCCTTCAAGGAACAAGGCGCAGATGCAGCTCCTAAAGCGGTGGGAGGTGAGTAGATCAGCACACCAGCATGTGGTCAAAGACCGAAAATCCCATTCACTGCATCCATGTTTTCCTCGTGCCAGGCCACGAGTTCCCAATTTTAAACTGTGGGTCGCAGCTTGGCTGGGAAAAATCCTTCTGCTTCCAAGCAGGACTTGAACCTGGTACCCTCTGTTTCTCAATCATGGTCTTAGACCATCTCACTATGCGCGCAACAAACTTAACATCAATTATCACGATGTTCGTTTTTCTTCCCTCTTTTCCAACAAAGCCGCAATGCTATGGAATTGCCTACCGCCTTCTTTTACCTCTATAACCAGCCTCCTGAATTCCAGTATTCTCCCTATCAGCATTTTAGCCGATACATTCATTCCACTGACGGTATCCCAACTCCTTACTTACCAGTTGTTGTATGCCTAGATCTATTTCCTTAGGCTATCCTTGATTAACTGCTCCCTCTACATAAAGTTCTCATTTCATTCTTCTTGCAGGAGATCCCTCGACAGGCGCAAAGCCTTTGGAAAATCCTTAAAAATATAAATAATACAAAATACAAATAATTAATATATATAGTCTTGATGAACTGTTAGTCATAACTCGTAACATAGTATTATTTCTTTTCTCCTAAAAAAACGATTGGATCAATGACCTACTTCTATTGTTTGCCCATATTTTTAGCCTGCCTTCCTCGACAAAATGATCAAATGGAGTCTAAAACAATGGCTGATGATATCTCTTGTCGATATGATGGTAAGCACTGTGGAGCAGAACCAGTGTGCGGAAGCACACAAAGGCAAGCAAACATATTCAGGGGCTGGATTCTTGATAATCACTAGGATCTTTACAAATACCCAAACTGATTTTAAATCAGTATAATTATATTGCTCCTCGAGGAGCCGAGGAGCTTGATTTTAAGGTAGCTCGGGCCGTTATCGCGAAAAATATCGGCGGTCAAAACCACTTTCTGTCCGATTTTTGTTCAAAGTTTCAAGCATCATGAGGGCAAGCTGTTACTCCCAAAATTTCGCTAGTGTGCAAGCCACGTTATTATGTCAAGAAATAAGAGAAAAACCTACTTTTACAAACAGGAAATCGTTTTTCATTTGTTTCAATTTGGCAGGCTTGCACATGTATTGAACTATGATATAAGTACATTTCAATTCTTTCTTTGGAATTCAGGACCACTAGTATCACACATTGTTTAGGCAAATCCACTGGAATCAATTACGAGAGAAGATCATTTCTTCGCATATTTCTGTAAACAGTGGGTAAACGAGTCCAATGAGCTAACATCATTTTGACATAACTGCATGATACTGATGTAGTGCGATGCAACTAGCAAGAAAATTTCAATCATTTTCGGGCCAACTTTGCAAAATTTAAATTTCAAAGCATTCTGGGCACCGTATCGTATCGAGGTTCAGAATACCAGTTTAATCTCCTAACGCAGAAGCCTGTACTTTCAACCAGTGTATCTTTTGGCATATAAAGCTTCTGTGACATGCTCTGATACTATGGGAATTACTAACATGATTACATGAAGCAACAGATGGAAGTTGGAAGCATTTTATTGTCCTCAATCCAAACCTATCTCTTTCTTAGAGAACGCCTTGTTCGGGCTACTTCGAAGGGCCATAACCCCTCCAAAGTGCCCCATTACGTACCCTAATACCTGTACAGTCGTCCCTCTCTAATCCGGCACTTGTTTATCCGGAACCCTTGCCAACCGGCGCACTTTCTGACGAAACCGATTTTTTTCGTTCAATTCCTGCATCTTAATCCGGCACTTGAATTCCGCCTCCGGCAGTGACTTTTTGAAACGAATCGCTCAAACTGCACGTAGTTTGATTTCATAATCCGGCAGTCGTAAATCGCGTACCGTACAGGTGCACTCCTTGCCAGGCCAGGCTAGGCCGGTCTGGTCAGTGCCGCGCGTGCGCGGGGCAACTTCAGAGTACAGTTCAGTTGACAACTGTACTCGACCTCGCGCGGGAAAGTTCAGTTCGGTTGGTTGTTAGGACTTTTCCGAACCCTAACTCAATTTATACAAAGAGAAGGACCAAGGAACTACAAGTTACACTATAATGTCCACTAACATCACCAGTTACTAAACAATCAGCTTATGCGATAACATTGCACGACACTGACCGACGGTACTGACGTTCTACAACTAACTACAAAGTTCGACCTGCATGATGTCGACTGCTTGCGTGGCCTTCTCAAGAGGGTCAATGTTGTCCGGGAGACAACGGCTAAGCAGTCAACCATACTTTCTTATTCTAGCAAGGAGTAGTGTCCTGCCAATTTTCAGGTGTGTGTGTGTGTGTGTGTGTGTGTGTGTGTGTGTGTGTGTGTGTGTGTGTGTGTGTGTGCGTGTGCGTGTGTGTGGAAGAGTACATGTGAACATGTTCTCTGTTTTACTTTATCACTTTATTACTGTGTATATTCCTCGAGAAAAGTTGAGAATATAAAGCCGTGCACCAAATACTTGGGTCGACACGGAAAAACTCTGCGTTTTGACGTATGATACATGCATGCAATTGGGTAGGGCCGGGTCAGAGGGCAGGATTTCTTAATCCAGCACCCTCGTTAATCCAGCGGAAAACGCCGTAGCAAAAGGTGCCGGATTAGAGAGTGACGACTGTATTGATTTTCTCATTCTGGACACTCATAGCATTGCAAAAAAAAGGTGTCAAACTGGTGAATTTTCGGAAAAAGTATTTCGGCATGAGCCACCTTAGAAACTTCTCTTTGCTTTTCGTTTTCACACTCCGGGAACCACTCGTCTTCCTTGTCATTGGTATCTTCCAGCATAGTCGAGGAGCCAAGTCAGCAAAAGTCCAAGGAATAAGAAGTTAGTGTGACACCCTGTCCAGGAAGGATTTTTTGATGGATTTGGAATGGCATAACAACCAGCAAATGACACCTGAAAACCAGAATGTGCCAAAGTTGTCCGTTCAAGAGTTATGGCCTATTTACTAAAATTTCCATGGTTACCATAGCAACGTACATGTAAATTGCCTCTTTTTAGCCCGAGAGACATGCAATATGGGTCAAATAGATAATAAATGGCTGTCAAAGTCATAAGTGAAGATAAAAGTTCCCAAAACTGCCTTCAAAATAAGTGAAGATAGAAGTTCCTGAGGAGTCTTGTTGGGATGTCGTCAAACCCAGGGGCTTTGCAAGGATTAAGGGCTCCTAGGAGCTGTTCTACCTCGGCGGGTGTGGTTGTGCTTTGGGCAAGCTCTCTCTCGCCGGATGTTGGTAGAAGGATGTCGGGGACTGGCTCGTTGTCAACTGAGACGGACTTCTTGCTTTCTGAAATGAAGAAGCTGTTGAATGCTTCTGCCTGATCTAAGTTTGATGTGAGCTTCCTGCCATCATGGTTCAAAGCTGGCATTTCCTTTCTTGGTGAAATTCGAAGGGTCTTCATAAGTTTGTAGAGGTTTGGGCGGTTTGTATGGGTTTGGTCACAGTGGTTGTCGGCATTGGCTGGTTTATGAACGAATTTGGACTTGGCACTGCGGAGAAGAGTTGTTGTCTTGTTTCGCCTAGTTGTGAACTGGTCCCAGTCTTCAGCCGTCCGTGTGGAGGTATTTCCTGTATAACCTGTGCTTTGTACGGATATTATTTACCAGATCAGGCGTCATCCATGGGCGTTTTGGAGACACTGCAGATGATCTCGTCAACCGGAGTTGAGTGCAGAACTGGTGTGCAGTGCGAAGTAGAGTGTCACGCCAGAGCGACCACAGTTCGGTCAGCGAATATGACGGCAAGTCAATGTCGGGTGGCAGCAGTTGAGTATACGCTAGCGCTTCTCTCAGGGCGCCAACGTTCTCTGAATTCCAGTTCCAGGTCCAAGGTGGTAGGTTACGTCTGCCACGCTCATCTGCTGGTGGCTGCAAAGAGATAGTTCTCTGGATTGCTAGGCGATCTGAACACCCAAACGGTGCTCTGGAAGTGAGTGTGACCTCCTCCAGAGGGAGATTGGAGATGACTAGATCGAGGCACGAATTTAGATAGCCTCGGCAGATGTGGGTGGCAAAGTTTACATGCTGATGGAAACCATATGCATCGATAAGATAGCTAAGTGCGTCACCAGGTCTGTCTGTGACATCAGAATCCAACCAAGAGCTGTTCTTGGAATTTAGGTCGCCGAAGAGGATGAATGGCGCTGTGGTGTTACATTTCCCGAGACACAATTCAAGTTCGCGGCAGAGCAAATTCGGTTCAGAGTTTGGTGGTCTATACGTGCATCCCACGGTGACTGTACGATCTGAGAGTGTAAGCTCTATCCACAGTGACTGGAAGCTTGGCATGACGACTGTTGTTAGGCGTTTGTGGCAGGTAGGGGCATGTATGTATAAAGCAACACCTCCACCCATCGTTTCTGTTCTGTCCTGTCTGTAGAGTGTGTAATCTGGAATGTCATAGAATGAGTCTGGCTCCATGGGGTTTGCCCATGTTCCGCAGACAGCAATAATATTAGTGTGGGCGTGATGCGTGGGATAGTGGGTATGAGCTCGTCCATTTTTCGGCCCAAGCTCCTAGCATTAAATGTTAAAAAAACTCATTCCTAGGAAAATTAGGTAAAGACATACAACATGCTGGAGCCGAAAGAAGGCATAGGACAAAAGTATAATATTATGCAAGAAGGCGAAAATGGTGTAAGTGCGAGGATATTACGTTCCGTTCTGTATGTGTGGATATCTTGCACTCACCTAGGACTGTCTGGGTTCGCCTTTTCAACTTCTTCTTGTTTCTGGGTGCATTGGCAGTGGCCCCGCGAGGTCTTTCAGGTGTGACACTGCTTCGAGGGCTTCGAGGGCGTTTGGAGCTATGTACTTGACAACCGTCTGAGTCCATGTCAGAGTCGCTGCCGGACTTGGTGAGGCGGCCTTGTGACATTGACTGTGCGAGGTCACCAATTGCCTTAGCTGGCAGCTGGAGCTGTGTTTGCGAATCTTGTTGTAGGTTGAACGGTCTGGGCGGTGATTGGTTGAAGTCAGGTAATGGGAGTTCCTCAGATTCTGATGAGCAAGCTGATGCAGCCTGATTTTCATCCGTGCTGCGACCTGGGACTTCCTTGTTAGGGCGAGAGAGTGTGCTCATTCTTCTTCTTCTTCTTCTTCTTCTTCTTCATCTTTCTAAATTTCAGCAGCAATATTGCTTGCGCGTGAAAAGTTTTAAATTTGACTGTAGTGGTATATCCCTGGACATTTAAATTAATTGTTTTATTTTGAACAACCCAGCCCTGTGTTTATTGCTCATTATTTAGCATATACTATAACACGTGTAGTTTTCCTCACTGTTTATTTCTATTGCATGATTTGCATTCGGAGATCCCCTCGACAGGCCATCGCCTCTGGGAGATCGTTTAATAAAGATTATTCCCGTAGCTATGCAGAAGACGTTACTTCAGTAACGTCTGGCGCTAGCCACGGTCCACACAGCTTTAATTCCCATAGCTTTGCAGAAGACGTTACTTCAGTAATGTTTGGCGCTAGTCGGGGTCCACACAGCTTTAATTTGGTGTTCTTTTGTGTGTTTGTTTGTGCGTTTGTGTCACGCCTGGCGCTATCCCGTATCTGTCCCGTACCGTACCGTACCATCAAACACACCTGGCCACATACAGCTGGCCGCACTATTCAAATAGGGCTTTCAAACGCAAGATCATAACGTGAAGCAACTTGGAAGAATG